GTGGGTGTGCAGGTGATTCCCTGATTGACTTAATGTCTCATTCCGAAGAAGGCAACAGTGCCAGGCACAGAACACAAAAGGTGATCATGCCACAGAGCCAGAGGGCCGGGTATCCACTCAAAAGGCTCATTTATTCACCTTTGCTTAGCCTTTGCATCTGTGGGAATCCTAGACCTCTGGACACACCTGGCCAGGTAAAGAGTGCAAAACAGCCCAACTGATAAAGGGATTGTCTATCTGTCACTCTCACACAAGAGGGATTCCATGTCTAGGCTGGGAGATCGCTAGAGGGAGGTTTACTGAGGGTAGAGGACTCTCCGTTCCCAGGGTTGGATGTACATAGAAGGGAAGGGGACCAGGGGCCTTCACCATACATTTGAGACACTAGGAATACAGCACACCCCAAAATATAATTCAATAAATTTGTGAAAGGTTTGGGGTTCCCTTGCCAGGTATCTCCTGAGGCTTTCGGGGGCTTCCAAATGGTGGAACTCTGTGCCCTGGGTCTCTCCCCGCATCCCCTTCCTCGCCTCCTGAGCACTCAGAGCCTGGCCAGGCCACGAGAGAAGGTCTCCTGGAAAGGGAGAGGCCTCTTCTCATCCAGAGGAAATCCCAGTCCTGGCCACGGAGTCTCTGGGTTTGGCATTCACTGAGATTTCACACTAACAACTATTGATATTCTGCATTTTGTAGCTGAAGGCTTTCATGGCCGGAATCTCTGTGTTGCTGTGAGTCTTCCGGGCTGCGTGGCCATGTTCCAGAAGCATTCCCGCCCACACCTCTCTATGGCAGGCATCCTCGGAGGGGTGAGGCCTGTGGGAAAGCAGGCAAATGGGGTTAATATAACTGTGGGAAGCCAGGCAGGAAGCAGCCAGGCTTTGGACCTGCAAGGCCATTCAATGGTAACGAAGGTGGTCAATGGAAACAGAGAAGAGTTCTTCTTTCTTCCTCCTGACGGCGAGCGCATCTTGTAGCCCCGCCTTTACATTAGTGTGAACTGCAGCAGGGAGTTCCGCAGTTCCTGGGCCAAGCTTTGAGGCCAGCAGATGGAATGCGCCCCAGCTGCTAGCTCCAAGACCAGGAATGCCTGCAACTCCAGGTAACTTCCCCTCTCCTTTGACTTTGTATCTTTCCCTAATAAAGTGCTTGAAACCTGAAACTTTCCGATGTAATTGATTTCTTCAATTGATCCATGGCAGTTTGACAATTTGGAGTCCAAATTACCTGGTTCGGGTTCTTCTTTTTGGTAAGATCCGAAAGAGGGGCCGCCAAATTACTAAAAGATGGGATAAATTTGCGATAGTATCCAGCCAATCCAAGGAATGCCCTAACCTGTTTTTTCGTTTTGGGCACTGGCCACTGGTGAATAACTGCCACTTTAGTAGGGTCAGGTCGAATATGACCTCCTCCCACTAAATGTCCTAAATACTTAGTAACATTGTATCCTATCTTACACTTAGAAGCCTTAATAGTTAACCCTGCTTCTCTCAACCTGCTTAACACCAGATCCAAATGTTCAAGGTGAGCTTCCCAGGAATCGCTGAAAATCCCTATATCATCGATATAGGCCACGCAAAAAGACCCCAGCCCACTTAAAACACTGTCTACTAATCTCTGAAATGTGGCTGGGCTATTTTTTAGCCCAAAAGGGAGGACAGAAAATTCAAATAACCGACTTTGGGTTCGGAAGGCGGTTTTGTGTCGA